GCTCCTCGGCCGTTGGCGCGGCGATCAGGATGTCGTCTAGTAACACTATCACGTTATCCAGGTCCTTTAGCAAGTTGTCTATAGCTCTCTGGAATACTGCCGGTGCTGTGGATACCCCAAAAGCTAGCCGATTCACCCGATATAGTCCCTTCTGTGTGGTAATCGTGAGGTACGCGGCTGTCTCCGCGGTCACTGGTAGTTGGGCGTATGCCATCTCTAAATCTAGTTTAGTGAAAAGCTTACCTCCTGCTAAGCTGGCAAACGCTTGTTCCAACGTTGTCATCGGGTACGGGTCTGGGCTTAATGCGGTGTTTATAGTCAGCCTATAATCGCCGCAAAGCCGTAGCGACCCGTCCGGTTTCTCCACGATTACTACTGGTGTTGCCCATTGACTAGTGTTTACGGGGGTGAGAATCCCCAGGCCCTCTAGACGGTCTAGTTCCTTGGCTACTTGGGCCCGCCTAGCAAACGGTACCGGGCGGCATTTAGCGTGCACCGGCCGTACCTCCGGGTTGACCTCGAGGTGTACGGGTTCTCCCGTGTATGCGCCTAGGCCTGGTTTGAAACAGGAGTATTGTTGGGTATAGGTGCTACGGCACACTTTCCCGTCTGTCAATTTCCCCATGTGGTAGCACGGTATGTTCTCCGGCACCGTTCCCTGAACGACCTTGAATTGGAGAAGGTTAAACCAGTCTCTGCCTAACAGTGCCGGCCCCGGGCCGTCCGCGACACATAACCAAGCGTCTGCTGTGACGTTGTTATGCTTGATTGTCACTTTGGCCTGTCCCTTTATCGGTACACTTGAGCCGTTGTATGCACGTAGGCGTAGGGGGCTAGGTCCTATCTCTTTTTCCGGCCACAGTTTCTGGAAAAGGTCCTCTCCTACCAGTGACACCCCCGCTCCTGTATCAATTTCCAGGTCGATGTCCGCCCCGTCTGCGTTCACTATGGCTCTCATGGCCGGCGGCACGATACGTGCGGACAACCCGTGCGGGGGTGGGCTGGGTGTATACCTCGCGCCCTTGCTCAGGATGTTCCCCGGCGTGGCGCGCCCGGGGTGTGCCCTGCTCCGGAATGGTGCTCCCCCCGCGGTTCTCATCAGCCCAATCATGGTGTGCTTAGGCCCTTGCACTCCCGACGTGGCTTTCTGCTCGCCGTCGGGGCTGCTGTGCGTGGCTGTCTGCGCGCCGCACCTCCCGAACCTAGTAGTTATCGCTCGGCTGACCCGCGAGCGTACACTGCCGAGCCACGCTCGCGCCTTTGCCCCCACTCCTTTTGCCGTTGGTTTAGGCCCCGCCGCGACCGTGGCTCTCTGCTCGCCGGTCTCGTCAGGCGGTGCCGCCCCTCCGGCCGTGGTCTGCGGCTCGCTCGCCTCTGCTCTGACATGAAACAAAAAGTCAGGGAAGTCTTCCTCTTCGTCCCCATACTCATATTGCTGTTCCACCCCGATTGCTTGTACTTCTACTTCGTCTGCCTCTTCCTCCGGGTCTGGTTCCACGTAATTGTGGGACAGCCCCCTGCTGTTTTGTTGATTGCCCCGCCCACGCCCGTAAGGGCGGCTTGGCGGCGCGTATCCCCGGCCCCTACCTCGAGTATTCGCCCCGGGTCGGCCCGTGCCTGACTGGCCCTGGGTCGTGCTTTCGCAGACTCGCGAAATATGCCCAGTGCGTTGACATGCATGGCATACTGTTCGCCAGTATGGACACTCGGAGCGGTCATGTTGTGCTCCGCACCCTTTGCACGGGGCACCTGACCGATTGTGCAGGGCGTACACCTGCTCCACTACTGGCGCGTCGGGGTCGGGGAGGGGCTCCTCGTCGTCTGGCTCTACGTTATGGACCTGCGCGGCGCCGGCTGTGTCGGCCGGCACCCACACCATCATGGGCATGAGGCGCGTTGCCCTGGCCGGACCTGGCTGTGAGCGCGCGGTCGGCTGGCTTGTTGACGACAGGGCTGCCGCCGAGTTCACCATCACCCACGGCTGGCTTGGCTGCCCTTGCCCCGTACGTCCCATCTCCAACTTACTCCTTTCGTAGCTCCGAAGGGTGCTAACGACCTTCTCTAACGTGGCATTCTCCGCCTTCCTAATGAGCTTAGCTCGCGCCTCCACGTCTGTTGTTCCTTTGATCAGCTGCGTTCGCAGTCGCCCCGGCAGCGACGCGGCACTGAACCCACAAATCGACGCGAGGCGCCGCAAGTCGGCCAGCCATACATCTACGGTCTCCCCCTCTTGCTGCACCCTATTGCCGAAATCTTGTTCGGCTGCCACTGGGGAGGGCTCTAAGGTTTGAAAACATGTCTTTAGTGCGTCGACAATCGCCTCAAAGGTGACGTCCGCGAGCGTGGAGGAACGGGGGTAGAGCGTGTGCTCGATCGAGTCAAAGATCTTATTGTTCACAATCCCGAGAAATGCCTTCTTTTTGGCCGCATCTGTTTCGAACCCTGCGGAGTCGAGCGCGTACCTGAGCCGGCGCTCGTAGTTCACCCAGCGCTCCTCCCCAGGTTGGAAGTTATCAAACCGCAATCGGGGGGTGCCCATTGTTTATCTACTGACTACGGTACCGTGGCCTGTCTGCACGCCGGTACGACTTCCCTTCTTACTGACTGACACGAGTGTGATACAGGCCCCCGTGGCTTTGCGCGCCGGTTTCCTTACCTACACCCGATATGGCGAGGGCACTCTTGATAAAACAACAACACGTCTAAAATAATTAAAATATTGATAAAAACGAAGCCGCCAGCGGTTCGTAGTAAATGCTCACCTCGTCGCCAGTTGACGTGTCGGGGGGAAGGACGATACACCGGGTGTAGAGCACAGGTATTTATTCACACAACACAGTACACGTATAATTACCCTAATACACAGTACCCTATAATACAGCACTTAGACTAACTCTATGATGTACACACGCACACAGGGGTAGAACCCGCCTGTGACGTTGGGGGGCTCAGTCCGGGGCAGAGCACGCCGGCTGAGTCGGAAGCTGGGGAATGGTGAGAGTAGTGGTTGTCAGAGAGTGCGTAAGAGAGTGTCCTCTCCAGCGCCGGGGCCGCTCGAGCTCGGCTCGGTCGCCGGCGAGCGCCCCCTGGTGGCCGGCCGGCTGGCCCTGGCCGCAGCCGCCGCCAACG